CCCACTTGACTTAAGCTCCTTGAGGGCAGGGATGCTGTGGCATTCTCCAGTGTACAGTACACACAGCCTGGAGCATAATTAGTGCTTAGTACATGTCCACTGGCTCCAAAAATGAATGACACTCTCAGAATATGAGCAGGCCACAAAAATATGCAAACCTCTCAACAGTACCCAGCCAAGTCAAAAATAGAGGCAAGCAATTCTGGGTGTGCTCACTTATAATCCACCAGTATGTTAAATATGTTAAGCCAAGCTGTGGGAAATACTACCTAATGGGAAGCCATACACTAGTAAATAGCAGAACTGACTGGAGTCACAGCCCATGGCTGTGGCTTCTGCATGAACACCCCGGAGCTAGGAATCACCTCTGAAGTGACAGCAAGGAGGGCCAGAGAGAAGCAGTCCATCCCCGGTGCTTCCACAAGGGATGGGGCAGCAAAGGGTAAGGAGGGAGACTTCAGAGTGAGCCTGGGACCCAAAGGGGTTGGGGCTCCTCCCCTGCTCACTGTCGCAGTCCTGTCCTCCAGGTGCATGCTCCAGAAGGGGCAGCTTTGCAAAGCATCAGAGGTGTCAGTCGTCTGGCCCCAGACTCCTCCCCAATCACTGAGTCCCCCTGGACCTCCAGAACTGCCTCTCGGAATGCAGGGCCTGGCCAAGTCAATCTCATTAGTCAATGGCTTAGATTACTGTTTGTTCATTTAAACTTGTTATCATCAGGTATAGCTCATAAACACTTACTTGATTAGTTTACACACTCAAATCAAAACCAAAACTTCAATTAAACCGAACATTTACTACTACCATTTAGGCTGCAGGGCTGCCCCACCTTTTGGCGTCTCTGGGCCACACTGGAAGAAGAGTTGTCTTGGGCCACACATTAAATACATTGTGACACATAACCACACACAAAAAATCTCATAATGTTTTAAGAAAATTTACAATTTTGTGTTGGGCCGCATTCATAGCCATCCTGAGCCATGTGTGGCCATGGGTTGGACACCCCCAGTAAGGCCTTAAAAAATAAAAAAATATAAGTAATTTTAAAAAGAAACAGAAAAAGAAAGAACTGTCTCTCGGAAGAGACTCCTACAAAGCAACGAAATTATCAATTTCAACACAATGAAACCTGATTCAGGAGTGTAAATTTAGTGCTCTGGTCACTAAAAATAAGACCTCACACTGTTGCTCTCACACAGGCTGGTTTCCTCGCATAAAGAAATGGAGAGAAGAGGGTGGAAAGAGGGAACCGCTGAGAGGGATAAACAGGCAAGAGCGGTTTATCCTTCGTAAATAACATCCCCACAGAATTAAATGTGGGCTGTTCCCAAGCATGGGAGAAACTCTCTCCTTGCCTCCTCTTTCGCCCCTCCCCTACCAGATTAGAAAAAAAATTAATCGTGTGTGATGACAAAGTTGGCTCAGCACTCACTGTACACACTGTACCCACAAGGCTGGCTCCTGGCCAGGCCTGGCCCCGCGCCAGTGCTACAATAACAAACACAGGCCATGCTGGCCAAGAGCGGGTGGGGGCAGCGAGCTGGCCCAGCAAGGGAGGGAGCGAGGAAGTGAGTGCGTTTGGCTCCACTGGACAAGAGACAACAGCAGGAATGTGCCTGTGCAAGGGACGGCAGGTAGCACCAGGACCCCAAACCGGGTCCCAGAGTCACTTCTCCACAGCTCGCCCCCTTTAAAAAACTAGTCCCCAGGATTCTGGAGCAAATGCTGCTTTTAGGCTCTTCACTGCTGCTACAACCCTTTGTGATCTTCTGCAAAGTGGGTCTACACCAAAGACCTTAGGAGACTTTCTTGCGGTCGGCTTCCTGCATGGAGCCTTCCAAACAGAGCAGCAAAAAACACCTCGCGCATCTCCTCTCTCCTCTAAATGTCCCACGGTTCTGTGATCCAGCAACTGGAAGAGGAGGCAAAAGGTGTAAAGCCCAGCTAGTCCTGCTAGAATCTGAAAGCAGACCTGGCACCACCAGCGCAGCCCTCCAGCCCTACACCCCACAGTGCCAGGTCTCTCGAGACCCCAGGCCTTCGCTGTTTAACAGGGGGGCAAACAATTCAGGAAGTGGTCTAGCCTCACAAGCCCTTGTTGCTATTTTATTTTCAAAACATCCCAGCACAGAGGTGAGCAGTCTGAGAAACAACAGGCAGAAGAAGCAGGGAACAGAAACATCACTCTAAGCAGGCTAGGAGCTCTCTGCAAGACGGATGAAAGCACTGTTTTGACCCATCACACTGTCCCCATTACCAAATCCGCCTTTACAAGGGCGCTGGCAAGTGAATGTCAGAGGGACGGACCATTTGCACAATGAGACTTCAGGAACGGAAGGAAAACCCAGGAACCGGGACGCGGCTCCCACAGCTGCCAGGGCGTCCCTAGGAGCCCTGAGGCAGAGCTCAGTGAGGGGGTGTCGCAGAGTCACTTGTCCTGTCCACAGTGGGGGCTCTGGGCCTCTCAAAGTGTGTAAGAAGCTTCTTCCCTCTCTGCCACTCCTCACCAGCCCCTCCAACACTGCTGAAGTGTGCTTCTCAGTGGAGACAGTGGCTAACTTGCCTTCAGCCCATAAGAGCCAGTGGGCTCCTGGCTGCCCCCCAGCGAACCCCTGGGACCCAGTCTAAGCAGTTTCCATCACAGAAGAGACCAGGAGGAAGACTAGTTTCCCTGAGGCTGCCACAGGTGTCCCAGGCTCCATTCGTTCATTCATCAGCCAGTGTCTGTCAGCTGCACTGATGTGCCAGGCAGTGTGCTGCAGACCTTGCCTTCCAGCAGCTCACGGTCAATTAGAGGAGCAGGGGGACAGGGACGTTACACGGGCTGAGCACCTGTCACGACTCAGGCACAGTGCTAGGTGTCTGATGTGAGCCTCACAATTTCCGAGGCAGGGTGAAGCTGTCTTCTGACAGATAAGGATGCAGAGGCTCAGAGAGCTTACATTTCTCACCCAAAGCCACATGGTGAGGAAGGTGCCCAAACTCCTAACCCTCCCAAGAAGAAGACGTAAGGCAAGTTCACAAATAACCATGACACAGAGAAGAAACATTGTGTCCAAAGACACTTCAGATAAAGAAACGTGGACACCCAGAAGGCACGCCTGCTTCTTGCTGAAGGTGGGGCACTATCAAGGATGGCACTGCAGAAGGAACTGTGAAGACCTGGGAAGACTGGGGAAGGGTTATTCTACACACTCGGAGCAGACCCAGAGGTAGAAGAACCTGCCAGAGCACTGGACTCAGGAGTAAGGAGAAAGGATGCTCACTAAGCTGAGGGGGAGGGTTGAGGACGTTGTAACCACAGACTGAAAGTGTGTTACCTGCACACAAGTGTCCGACGCCACATAGTCAGAGACCGCACAGGGGCCTGGAGCAGGGAGCAAATGAAACAGAAGACCCACACTCTGCACTTGGTTGGGGGCTGTGCAGCCTTGATGGGACACGGCTCATGAAACCCCATGCTGAACCCTAAACAGGGTAAAAAGCTGAAGGGAAGCAAGAAGATAGATGGTGCAAGTAATAAAAACAGAACAAAAGCAGTACCTGAGCACCAAGCAGACACTGAGTGCCGGAACGCTCGCGTGCAGGATGCTGGCCCACGCGGGACAGGGAGACAGGACGAGGGTGGTCAGTAGAGCCAGGTGTGGGGTGAGGAGACCCGACGGAAGGAGGGACGGAACACACAAAGACAAGCAGGGGAGGGGACGCGCCAACACAGACGGCTACCTGGTGAGGCCCTGTCCCTGGAGCTGGAGGAGGGAAAGATGAGAGGCAAGAAGGGCTTGGGGCACTTTAGAAAGGGCCCTAAAAGCCAAGGAGAGAGAGAGAGCATTCAAGCATTCAGTGCAGCGCAGACCCACTTCTACCCTTTGCTCTGCAGCAAGGCAGTGGCAAGCTAACCTATGAGAAACTACCCAGTGGCATTTACATGACCACACAGGCAGTGGACAGAGTGAGGACAGACGGCAGCTGCCCACCAGCCAGGCCAGACGCTACGGAGTTGGGTGAAAGGAACACGCCCCAGGGTGACAACATCGAAAGTAGGGCGAACAGAGGAAGGTGAAAGCAGAAGCAATCGACATTCATTAAACATCAACTGTATGCCAGGGAGTGAACTACAGATGCCTTTAACATATATTCTGTCACCTAATACTAAAAAAAAAAAAAAAATGATATGAGTTAGTCACACCTGCACTTTACAGATGGAGAAACTGGGCAAATCTGCCCAAGGTCACACAGCACATATCGCAGATAAGAGCTGAACCTTCGCCTGCACAGCCCCAAAGCCCACGCTCGTTTCACAAACACAAAACTGGAGTGCCGCGTGCCGGAAGCAATCTGGGAAAGAACCAGCAGATGCTGACAGTCGGTATGAAGAGGGAGGAAGACCTGATACGAAGCCAGTCCTCGCTTCTCCCCCAAAATGTGATGCCCAGGCTGAAGGGCGGGGGGGCAAGAAGAAGGAGTGTGCAGGCCCTGGCAGACAGCAGGGAGGGGAAGCTGGGCGGCCCCTGGGCCTTGAAGCTGCACCTTTCCATCAAGACCCCCCAGGCCCGCTGCACGCCAGGAGCTTCTTCCCTTTTCACACCTAATGGGGCAGAGCAGCTTTGCCCAAACATGAGCAGAAACTCCAACAGTGCCTAGTCAACCCCACTAGAAAAGGGTAAAATTAACTTGCAAAAGACAGCACGGTGTAACTAGCTTTGTGTTCCAACCTTTCTATATCTATTTAATTAAAGGCTTCTGTATAATGTGAACCCAATAGTCAGATTCATTAGACAGTGAGAACCTAATTCCAAAGTTGTTTGGCTAATGAAACCAGTCTGCTTTAGAAGTCAGATCACACCGTCAGGATGGACTTTTAGCTTCGCGAACCTGGAGGGAGCACCTGAGGGACAAGACGGAGCAAGGCCCCAGCGGGCAGTGGGGACATGCGCACCCCAAGTGGGAGCAGGAGGTGGTCGTCTGTGCCCAGAGGGACTGGTCAAGGTGTCCTTCCCTACCTGAATGAGCCAGTAAGTGCATCCTCAGTCGCAAACTATCCAGGAACCGCTTTCCGCAGAGCTCACACCCATACGTCTTCATTCCACTGTGCAGCTTCCTGTAGGGGAAAGGAAAACAGAAGTTGCTGCTGCTCTGGCTGGACAGAAGGCAGGCCCACCCCTACCTGGGGGGCTTGGCAGCCATCCCTCTGGCTGGTGAAGGGAGATGGAGGGCATGGGAGCTGGAGATGGGCACTGACGGAAACATGTCCTGGGCCCCTGACTGCCTAGAACACCCCCTTTTCCTATGGACCCCTGCCAAAGAAGCATCTATTCCTGGTCTTGTGCAGGAATGAGAAGAACAGGGCACCTCCTAATGCTTCACTCCCTTGCACATATACCAAAAAACAAAAAACAACAACAAAAATCAGATCCAATTTCAGAGGGAGGAAGGAATAAGCACCAGGACCATCAGAGAGACATAATGCTCCCAGTCAGACTAGCAAAAATCGTACATGGAGGCCACTGGGCCTTTGCTTAGCTCAGTCACAGCAAGGACCCCGTGTACTATGGCTGTGCACACACAGCCTGGACCCCCCCAGGAGACCGCTGGGCACAGGAGGGCTGTACCTGTGCCTTTACTCTCATATCCTGAGCTCCTACTCTAGTGGTAACTAGCAGCCATTGAATAAGCTTATTAATGAATTGATGTCTTCATGGACCCGAGATGCCTCTCTCTCTGGGCTTCTCGGAACCAGTGACTCCCTAATACACACACCCTGCCCCTAAGGCCCAGCTAAGAAACAGATGTCTTCCCTCTATTTCTTGCTGCAGGGTGAGCCCTAACAGAAAAGAAGGCTTCAAGAACCCAGGCCGTATTCCCTAAGTGAAAGGTGGTAGTAGTCATTTTTGGTTTTCCCAAGTACTTTCACACACGTTTCCTCACTTTACCATCACTGCAACTCTAAGAGGAGGGTTGGGCACACATGATCACCCCAGGAAGTCAGAGGCCCTGTTCACAAGTAACCATGGGCCCAGCCTACAACAATGCTCCAACCCCTAACCCCCAAACCCAGGGCCTTTCCCACCAGACCCCACTGCTCTGCCAGGAGCCAGCAATGGAGCCAGTAAGTGCAGGGAAGCAGGTGGGCCAGTGGGGAGCTGAGCACTGAGAAGAGGGTCAAGTGCACACAGCCAAGGCTCTGAGTGGCTGGCTGGCGTATGGGCCACCTGGCCCGGAGCACTGACTCTCCTCCCACTCACACGCCTGTTCCCAAGCCCTTAAATGCCTCTGCCAGATCCAGCATCCACCTCTACCCACCTCTGCACCTCACCCACCACCTCCCGGGCGCTTGGCCTGAGGAACAGGCTGGGCAATGGCGGCCAAGGGCAGGAGCCAAGAACTGTGGGGCAGGCAGAAGACATACAAGGCCCCCTTCCAGACAACAGTCTATCGCAATCAGAATGTTGATGTGTTAAGACCACAGTAAAAGTTTGGAGAGTGGCTGCTACTGATAGACAAATGCGGGAGGCAAGAGGGAGTATTATACACTGAAGCCAGCAGCACCCAGGTCCAGGCCTTAGAACCCAGGTCATGACAACTAAACTAAGCCACCCACTGCCACCACCTTCGACAGCAGTGTGTGAAAACCATGCGGGCCCACAGGTGGGCCTCCTCAGCTCTGCAGTGTCTGGGCCACCGCAGCCTGAGGACGGCATATGGTGTTTGGTGTGCATGGCCTCTGAGAGCCGTCACACCCGGTCCCCAAAGCAGAGCTCTTTCTCAATCACAGTTTTGTTTGCTGGCTTTCCCTTTACCTCCTTGCCAAAGACAACAAATGATTTCTCAATCACACAAACACACACCCTGGTCCGAGACACTATAGTGCACCCCACCCCCATGTTATCTTACTCCTGGCCACGGATGATCCAATCCAATTGAGAAATAGTAACAGTACAGAACATTTTAACTGAACATTCTTAACTCTAAATATATTTCACAACGCTAGGCACTTAGACATGTCCTAACAGCTTTCTGGGCAAACCGTGTTTTTAAACACAGAGGCCCCCTTAACCAACCGGGACACGTTTCAGTGGATGCCTGAAACTCTTAAGTACCACCGAACCATATATATATATATATATATATAATGTTTTTTTCCTAGACATACCTACCTACCTATAATAAAGTTTAATTTATAAACCAGGCAAACTAAGAACTAATAATAAAATGGAACAATTATAACAATATACCATAACAGTTATGCAAATGTGGCCTTCCTCTTTCAAAATAGCTTTGCACTACACTCACCCTTCTTCTCGGGGTGGCATGAGAGGACACAGTCCCTACATGATAAGATGAAGTGAGATCACGTGTGACACAGCATTAGGCTACTACTGATCTTCTGAAGATAGATCAACAGCTGAATGTCAGGAGCAGGCGATGTCAATGGTTGGGGAAACTTGGTATTTTAGGACCATGGTTGACTGCAGGCAACCAAAACCATGGACGGTGAGACGGTGATAAAGGGGCAGAGAACATGTTCCCAGGCATGTGAGTGTGTGTGAATGCACACGAGCGTGCACATGCATAACAGTTGAATATTCCTGTCACTCAGGCATGACAGGTGTTTGCTTTTCTGTTAGACGGCCCAGGAGTGGCAAAGCTCTATTCACAGGCTGTTCAGCAAGTGAAGCTCTTGCCCACATGCATGGCCATGCCTGGTGGCTGGCAGTGTATGAGTTTCAGTCTTATTTATTTTCATCCTTTTCTTCACTAGTGATTTCTTAACTCCCAGGGGTGCCTACCTCTCAGGAGGTAACTGTCAGAAGGACCAGGGGGATAAGCACCCATTCAGGTTTATTTTCCAAAAGGACTATAGAGTGACCAGTGTTCTGGGTCCAGCAGCCACCACCAGGATTAACATCCCCAACTTGCCCTGGGGCTCCCATCCCCCTTCTTCCTACAGATTGCACACCGAGTTTTTCACCAAAATGAACACTTTCTGGGTAACCTCTCTGTCTTTTCCCTACATGAGAATGATTTGCCTGGCAATTGGCGGAAGTGGCTTTCTTGGCCAACTACACTGGTGTGGTATGAAAGGTGGCGTACCCTAGCCCTCTGCTACCGAGACGGAAAGGTGCAGGGGAAGGTGCTGGGCAAGCAGCCAGAAGACCTGGATCCTTATCCTGACTCAGGCATTAATCTACTTTATGACCTTGGACAAATTATACTGTCACAATATCTCTACCTTTTTTCACCTATAAAGTGATGGGGCTGATATCTAAGGTTCTGGTCCCATCTGGAGCCAAAATTTTATTATTGAAAAGTCTTACCTACATAGCCCTGACTGGTGTGGCTCAGTTGGTTGGGCATCATCCAGCAAAGTGAATGGCTGCACCGGCATTCAGTTCCCGGTCAGGGCACATGCCTGGGTTGCAGGTTCGGTCCCCAGTCTGGGTGCATATGAGAAGCAACCAATCGATGTCTGTCTCCCTCTCTTTCTCCCTCCCTTCCCCTCTCTCTAAAAATAAATGAATAAAATATTTTTCTAAAGAAAAGTCCTACCCTTATCCTTGTACCTGATCTCCAAGGAATTCCTTAGGAGCACTATTTATTCCCTCGGAACCACGTTTCCACTTGAGCGATGTCCCGGGACACCACGCAGTCAGGCTAGGGTGGCCCAAGCAAACATCGGCATCTGATGATCTCAGAACTCTATTCATTTAAAAACATTCTAATACACATAACGTGAGTCTCCTCCTTTTCTCACCTGTGGTCCATCTTTCAGTGAAAGAATCTTCCCATCACCAGGCTCTCTTCTGGTGCTATGCACCACCCAGCCTTCAGAAACACAGGTGTCCTACCCTATTCAATGCTGTGGTAAGGACGCTGGCCTGCACCTGACCCACTAACTTAGTGCCCTGCACAGGTTACCACAGGCATCCATGTGACCCCACAGGAGTATAAGAACTAAGGTCCCTCCCACTGCAGAGAGACCAGGATAAAGCACAAGGTTTGGAAGAGTAACAGGGAGCACCTCACAGGCCTGGTAGCTCAACGGAGCCCAACACTGGTCAGCCCGTATCTTTTATTACTGTTCAGATACCAAGGGAAGAATGTGAAAAAGTAGAGCTTTCTTGTGATTCAAACAAAAAGAATTTGAGTGCATTCAGGCACTTGGTGACCAAGAGACTCTCTACGGCACAGTCTGCAGAATGGCCAATGTGGAAATAAAATCCCAACTGGTTTTGGGAGTAAAGTACCCATTTATATGACCTCACATCTGCATGAGACCACAACCTCCACCACCACTACCACCTTAGGCAACAGCCACACATGTTGATTAAAATGGAAATTTGTCCACCTCTTTTCTTCTTGCTGCACACTCTCCTCTTCTCCCAACTTGGTCCTGTCTTTTCATATGGTCTACCTGCTCCTGGCCACCTGAGGCCATCAGGGAAGAAGGGGGCGGGGGACATTTTTGCACCTTGCTGAACACTGCCTTGGTTTTCACACTCTCTCCTCTGAGAAGTAGCAACATTGCTGAACACGGTTTTGAAAGTGACCCAGTTCCAGCATGGCCCACGTGTCTCCACGCCGCGCTCGGCAGAGGAACCACCTCCCCCACAGGGTTCAGGCCGTCCGTCTTGGGAAGCAGGCCCAAACCCTCCCCCACCCCCAACTCTGCCCCACCACCACCGACTCCTGGCCCACTGGGAAAACTCACCTTGAATTCAACAGATTTACATTTCTGTCCAAAAAGACAAAGGAAAAAAAAAGTAACCTCTAACAGGTTTCTAGCTATTTGCTCAAGAAAACTGAATCATTACTAGAAATTAAGGCTAAGTAAATCTGAACCTTTTAACAGGCAACAACAGAGAAAGACTCATTCCTTCGCAGAGATTCTCAACCACACAATTCTCACCAGGCCAGCAAGGACACTTTTTGTGTCATCCAAACCGCTACTGTACTACTGTGAGTCTGAAAATGCATAGGAGTTCATCTGTCTTAGCCTGCAAATATATATATATATATATATATATATATATATATATATATATATATATGGCATAATGTTTATTTTTTCCTTAAAGAAGCTCCTCCGTCTAAGGTGGG